CGGTGACTGAGGAGGGAGTGCGGGGGGCAGACCGGCACGGTGGCCGAGGAGCGTCGCGCCCGGAGGAGGGCGAGGTAGACGTTTGGGCATCTCTTCGGGGATAACGGCCTGGGGGTGGGGCGTCCCTGCCCGGGCGCCCTGCCGAGCCGCGTGTGGGCTAGAACACCACTGGGAAAGACCAGGAAGGGAGATTGCCCATCTGTCTCTGTGGTGCCCTCACCCCGGGAAAGCGACACGGTGCTAAGATGCTGGCGATCCATTGCTTCGCGGAAAACTTCCAGCGGCCTCTCCGCAGCGGCGGGAACGCTCCCAAGTAGCGGCTTCACGGGCTTCTGGTCTGGCAGTGCCAACAACCCCACTTTATTTTATTATTGTTATTATTGTTGTTAGCCAAAATTAGGTTTGATTAAAGATCTGAAACTGAGCAAGAGAAAATGAGTTGCAGGTAGGGCTGAGCATAATCGCTTAATAACAGCAAGAGCTGGAAAAGTAAATCAGATAGGGAAAGACGGGTTTTTTAAAAAAGGTTTTTATGCCGAGATGTACATCTGCAGCTCTGTCATTGCAATAAGATTCAAACTGTAGACAGTACACATCTGTGAGCTCTCTGACTGCATCTGTCACCTGCAGTTCTACAGCTACGCAGGCAGTAACTAGTGTGAACTTGTGAATTTAGGGTTACGAACATGCCTTAAAATTGTGTTGAAGAAAAGAGAACAAGCTTGATGTAGAGTGTGTATGTGAGAAAGCAAGGACAACTTCCCTGGGGAAATTGAAGAAGAGAATTCTAAGGAGAATGTTCAGTCATCCTGCTGTAATTTGCAGGCTCTTTTAAAGTTTGAGACAGTGACATTCTTTCACATAGAGAACTTTTAGCATTATCTCATTGAAAAAATTATTCAGTTTGATATGCCCATTAAATATTTATGTTTATGCTGTCTCTTTAGCCATGCATCACAAAACTGCTTAATGGTTTAATACTTTCCAATACCATTTTAGGTCCATAAATGAGGTTTTTCTGTGGCACACTGGAAAGGTCACATATATATATATATACTACGGTATTAACATTTTTGTGGTCAGTGAGAACAAAGCTCTACATAAAGTGGAAGACTAATGAGGAAAATAAAATTGATAAATCATAGAGGTAATTATGTCAACCAGAGCTTCTGTTTGTCTCCTGTATCTCTTACTAAGTCTGGCTTCTCCTGAACAAAAAGGCATTATCTTTAGCCTCAGTGTCCCCTCGTTTTGTAGTCTGTACTCTCAAACTCGGTCTCAGAAACTGTCATGGCCTGCTACTGTGTACTCCTGAATGAAGGAGAGCTAGCTAGAATATCCAGTTTCTGAGTCAAGTGTTTTCATTTTAAGCTTTTAATCTGAAATTGAGGTTCAGTAATTTCGTGTATGTGCAGGATGCGAGCTGGGCAGTTTTGTTTAACAATGGGAAGTGTGAACATCGGGAAATATATTGCATTTTTAAGACTAAGAAGAAAAAAATCAGCATTTCTCTCTTTGGATTAATGAATCCAGGGATGTTTAATCTTTTTACATGACTGTTCTGTGAAGGATATTCTGGGGTGACCCCACTAGACATTGTGGATATTGAGTTCCAGGATTTATTTCATTGTGTATATGGACACATAATGAACTCCCTTTCCCTCAGGGCTACCCTCAGATCCACTCCAGTTTGCACTTATTTGCTGAGTCCTCTGTCCCTTCCTAGTTGGAGACTGGGGGTGGGGGGATTGCGTCAAGTCCTGTCTTATACCTCTATTAAAGATCCAATTATTGCTTTCCTTGCTCTTTGTTCTAACGTTCCTGATACTTGCTGTCATCTTAATCCCACTGTGTACTTACTCATGTCCCAATGAAAAATGATTGTTTTATGCAGTTAGTATTTTTTTTTTCTTATGGGCTTTTCAGCTTATGTCTTTGAAAATATCTGTACTTTTCGGAGTAAAAGGAATTTTGGAAGAAGTGGTCAGAATGTAATTTACATGTAGTCCTTCTAGGGGAAAGGGTATTGAAAAGTCATATGGTAAGCAGAACCTGCTTTATGTTTTAAATTGAACCTTAAATTATAATTCTTATTCAAAAAAAGTTCTTAACATCAGTCTATTCGGGTTATTTTGAATTTGAACATTTGATTAAAATTGTGTTGCCAAATTTGAGGAAACGACTTAAGCTATTTCCCCACATTTTTCTTCACGTGGGAAATTGTCACATCAAAATTTTTATGTGGACGTATCTATTATAGAAAGTGCAGAATTTTCTATAAAGCAACAGATAATGAAACATAATTGAAAATCCTGGAACGTGTCATTACTTATGCATATATATGGCATGTTAATTAAAAACTCAGCAAACAGTACATAATTTAGTGGGTTTGAGTACTATTTTTTAAATAAAGGAGGCCAGTAATAAACTGGTGATTGATTTCCTTTTGTTGCATCATAGACCATGTGATGAAATGATTGCTGTGGAAAACAAAGTTTAAATTAATTTTAGAAGAATTTGTTGTAGAATGTTTCTGAGTCAGAACCTTCAGTGGCTTTAAAATTTAGCTATATTGTGACATTTGAACCAATAAAGATTTCTTGAAATTTATTCTCGTTTGTTGCACCTTTTATATGACTGTTGCCATTTCAGGTATATGTAACCAGTGAAAGATGTTTTGCCTTCGGGTGCTCTTTGTGTACTTGTAGAAAACAGAGAAATGACATAATGGATAACAAAAAGTGACAGACTTTTAAATACTTTCATAACATACTACTTGGTATTATAGTTATTGGTGTGTGGATGTCATCTTGCCTGCTAAATTAGAAGTTTTTTGAAGGCCGGGACTATGAATCACCATCATCTTATATGTTCATATCCTGTATATGTGTATTTTGGAATTTGATGTGTTACTAGATGGAAATGGTGTTTATTTTTATTTCAGTTCAGAGACTTATCTAGTGGATGAGGAGAACCTTTTTGAAATCTAGTAATTTATTCCTAAAATTTCAATTTCTTTTTTTTTTTTTTTTTTTTTTTTTTTTGGTACCAGGGATCAAACTTGGGTCCTTACACTTGTGAGGCAGACAGCGGAACCACTGAGCTAAATCCCCGGCCCTAAAATTTCAACTTTTTATCCTAGGGATGCAAGTTATAGGCTGCCAAATTTTTTTCAAATAAACAGTAAAAAGAACAGTTGACTGATGTAACTTGTGTAGTACAGGATTTGCTTTTGTCACATAACTACCACTTTAGGAGATTTCAGGAGGTTGAGAAACTATACACATCTGAGGTCTTCACAGGCCCCATGACAAATTTGAATTCTGGTGTTTTTTTGTTTGTTTGTTTTGGTTTTTTGGTTTTTTGAGACAGGGTCTCACTATGTAGTTGAGACTGACCTGGAACTCACTTTGTAGCCCAGGCTGGTCTCGAACTCACAGTGATCCTCCTGCCTCAGCCTCCAGAGTGCTTGGATTATAGGCATGCACCACGCCCAGCTTGAATTCTGTATTTTGACACAGACTTTTCCTGAGGAGAGATGGAATGTTGGTGCTTATATAGTTGTTAAAAAGTAACATTCCAACAGTATGTCATGTCCTTAGTGGAAAGGAATCATCACATCAGAAATTCTACTTAGTGGTCTTGTTTGTGACTAACAAGTGATATATTGAGAATTTGACTTACATGGCTGGTTTTGTCCTAAGAAATGTGCTGCCAGGGGTGCTATTAATATTTTTTTTAAAAACACTGAGGTGATGTCTGGGGCAGTTCAGATCTACCTTTGTATAGGAGTCAATAACAAAACTTTAAAATTTCACCAAAAAATGTAGAACAGAAGTTTAGCTGTTGTTTTATTTCACCGTGCAGCAGTATTCATTCATTAAAAAAGAATATTGCAAATCAAATGATGTGTTAAAGGTAGTTTTGTAAGACATGTGCTGGTGACACAAGTATGGAATTGTGCTAGCATGATAGATACCTGGTTATGGACCTTGGCCCATGTTATGTTTTGGTGTAACTCAGTAGATGAGGACTTAACATCTTAAGTAAAACAAAATATCTCTTGCTGTTAGTTATTTCCAGAAAATTGTTTCCCTTTCTCTTCCTGATAAATTGCAAGCATTTTCAATGAAACAACAGTTTTGATTTGAATCAGTTACATTTTTGGGGATTAGCTTGGATGTAACATTTAATAGCATGGACTCTGAACACAAGATGCTTGTATTTAGTGTTATGGCTCTTCTTGTTAGTTGAATGGTGCTGGACAAAAGGGTTTAATTGCCCTAAACGTCAGTTTCCTCTCTGTACTATGTAGTTAATATTAGTACTACCTCATAGGACTGCTATGAGAAAGAATTAAGTGTAAAGTACTTATAACTTTACTTAAGAGCTAAAATAAAATAGTGCTCTTAGTGGTCTACTTCATAGGTGAACCACTATGTTGCTTGAATGGTGTGTTTCTTGTGTTTATAGACTTTTACTAAAGTTTTGTTTTTTATCGTGGACCATTAGACTTTGTGGTTTTTGAGAGGGAAGGATACTTTTTTAAATTTTGAATTGTGACAGACATCTGGTTATCACTTATGGCAGATGGACTAAGTAAAGGGAGACATCTATGTTTCTTGGAAAAGGAAAGCCAACAAAGCCTAGTCTGGCACAGGGTTGAATCTATTGAAATGCTTTTTCCCTGAGGACTTGCCTGGTTATTTAGCTGAATAAAAGGAATAGACCCTGTTGGTTTCATTTAGCAGAATTAGTTTTTCTTTAGAAGACAGTGTTTTTTACTTGTGTAACCTTAATTGATGGTAAACTTGAAACTTGTTAGTGTCATTGTCAAGCCATTTAACTTGAGCTTTCAGTGTCACTATATTTGCTCTAAAT